TTATCGGCTACATGAGTTGAACAACTATCGATATCAGGGAGACTTGGGATGTCTCTGTAGTTGTTGTTTGCTTTCTACAATAGTCTAAACAGTCTTTGTTGCACTGAAACTTGACAAACACTAATCAGCTTTGGTTTGGGTGTTCTATCTTTTGGATTAACCAATTTTTGTAATGTTTTGTTATTTTAGAGAAAAACTTTTTCTTTTTTTACTTCTGAAACATATGGGATTACAATGTTTTTGTATCTTTATTCTTTCTCATTTTTGTTAAATTCAGTGTTGCTCTTCCTTCTAGTTTTTTTTTGGCCGAAATAACAAATGTCAAGTTTCATTAACCAATTGCTTTTAGTGATGTTAGAAATGTTTTAGTTTTGTTCGACCAAAAAACTTGGAGCCTCTATGCATATATTTGGTAAATGTTTCTAATTTTTTACAAAGATCCCTAAAAAAATCTAAGCAACTGAGGAAAATCCTTTCAAATGTTCCATGTTACCAGTGCAACCCTCATTTCTTTTGTTTCTTTCTGTCACACCATCGTCTTCTTTAATTTTCCCCTTTCATTCCCTTTAAAACAGCAAATGCTTCCTGCAGTCACTCTACCTCTACATTGATATTCCACTCTCAATTTAGCCAAGAGACAGGCAGCAGTACAAGCTTCTTTTCTCACCAGAAGGCAATCTAAGATGGCCACAAAGAAAGGAGAGAGGTTTCATGAAATAAAAGAGATTCTGAAAGTTGAACAGAAGAAAAAACACAGGGGACAAAATAACCCTACATGCCAGGTAGGTCTCTTTTGGCATTACAGCAACACCATTTGTTTACTCGTTAATCAGCTGCAATAATTGATAAACAAGTGAATGGTAAGTGTGGTTCAAGGAAAAAAGTGACAGAATGACATCTCCATCTTGTCCAAGATGGTTTAAAAAGGCTTTGATGTTAATGATGCTAGTTTTAGTTGTATTACCTAAGGCTAATAAAAAATAATTTGTAGAAACTATTTTGTTTGGGTGGATCTCTTTTTCAGCGCTGTCAGAATTAAACTGAGCAGCACAAAAAAGCATCACTTCAAACAGCTAGTACCTATCCGGTGGCGATGAAGTTATCTGCATTCCTTAGCACTAATTACAAGTCATTTCATCACATGAGAGAAGCTACCAGATACTGAGTGTATTGATTATACTGAAAGTGATAATGCAACATTTATAAGCAACTGATAATGAGGGTTGAAGAGCTTTTCAACCGTACCCCCCACCCTGAGTACAAACGATCAAGATGGAGAGACCAATTCCTCAAGGCTACATGGAGAATTAGAGAATCCACAAGTAAGATGGGGAGACTCGAACACATGAAAGCAGAAGAGGAGGGAGATAAGTGCAAAGGGAGGAGAGGTAGGACTGTGAAGTGCTGACAGCAGGTAAAGGGTAAAGAGATAAGAGGAGTAAGGGAGTCACCTCAAGAGGAGCAGACAAGGAGTGAGGTGAAGGGAGGTGGAGAGCAGATGGCCTTAGGAAGAAAAGAAAAGAGAGGGTAGGAGGCAAGTTTGAAATATTTTCCCACAATGAAGAGAAACAAAAAGATGGATGAAGGTGAAAAATAAGGAGAAACCACAGATATGGAAATACAATGTGTCATTCAAGGAGACAGCCCGTGGTTTAAACCAGAACCAAGCTTGACATGAGCTGACAACCCGAGAGCAAAGGAAGGCAAGAGTAGGACAGTCGCCAGGAACAGAGAGGTGGGAAGGAATAAAAGGAGAAGAGAATAGGTGAGAAAAAGAAAGGAAAAAAAATACAGCCCAGAGCCAAGAGTCCATCTTTTATGTGATCCAGAACGTTGCATTTATAATAGATTCCTTCTTTCACAATAACTGTAGTTATAAAATAAATGTTAAATATACGCAATACTTAAAAACTGTCAATTATCTTCTTAAACAAAACCCAATAAAGTCTTGTCATTTAAAAAGCTAAAGATTTTAATTATCTTCACAAATAATGATATTATCAGGAGAAATATTATTTTTTTCCTATGGTTTAATGTTTCAATTAGGTTGGTTAAACCATGTTTTTCCACTACTGGTAATAGAGTATCAATAAATATGATTAAGTCCAATATTTTTGATGTCTGTTTGTACAACCTGTGTACTCAAGCTGTTACCTTGTTAACTGATGTACTGGACTAATATTAAAACAGCCCCTGACTGTGTGCAATGTCAAATATATTGCTAAAAGGGTAAATTCCTAAAAAAATAACAGGTTCCAGACTTACAGTACAAGTACTGGTAGATTTTTTAAGCATTATTAATATTAGGAGGCTTCTTTCTAAATATATATTATGGGACTAATATGCTATATTTAACACACGCACAAAGGATCTACCTGCCCAAAAGACAAATCAGCATCCTTGACTTTAACACATTTTATTTTTAGGTCGCACTTTGTTTATTGTTTATAAGTACAGAGCCAATACATAATTTATATTACCAAAGTACACTTATTTAAACAGGTACATTTGAATGCCTTTTAAAAATGTGTTTTTAGGGTATATCTCACCATTCTTCTGGGACAGCATTTATAAGGTCAGGAATAAAATGGTGAGCTGTATGGAGCCTCTACTTCAATAAAACATCCCATATGTTTTGACTCAGGTTGAAGTTGACTGTGTGTGGGCCAAGTTCTATTGTACAATCATTTTATTACTAAAGGGGCCTTATTGAAGCTGTCGCCACATTGTAAAATTCTTCAGAAGGTCTTAGTATGCTGCAGCATTACGAGTTCCATTCACTGGAACCAAGGGGTAGAGTCCAACATCTGATAGTAAAGCCACACACCATTATAGCCTCTGAATCAAACTTTACGCTTGACTCAGCTCTGTCAGGTGAGCTCCGTTCTTTTGGCAGCTGTAAAACCCAGACACTATCATCGGATCGCCAGAGGGAGAGACAAGAAGTGTCCTTTCAAATATCATCTTTCCAGAACTCTGCGGTCAAGTGGCAGCATGCTTTACACTCCATCTGATCCTTTGTATTGCATTTTGTACCGCAAGAATTTAATGCAGCTGCTCAGCCATGGAAACCCATTTCATGCTTTGTTCTTTGAGCTAATCTGAGGGCCACATGAAGGGATGGGAAGGTGGCAACTTCTAAGCATGATGCAACACAGGATCTGATGACCCCACTGAGGTGTGCAAGTAACTTTGCATTTGAACGTCTGATCATTTCTTTTAATTACCCAAATACCTTCAGTAATTTATCTAAATTCTGTTTTTAGTAAAAACTCAGGCCTCTTCTAAAGTTGCAAGGTTCTCCCTGCAATCTGTCATATGGAACATTGTAAGTTTTTTATTTATTTAGACTCTGTAGACTTTGTTTAACTTTGGTTAACACAACCATATTGATCAAACTAACACAAAGTAGACACAAAGAGACAAGTTCTTACCTTCCTTGCAGTACTTCCCCCTGAAGCGAGTGTGGGTACAGTCACACTGAACTTCTCCATACTGAATTGAACAGAACCCTCCGTTGAAACATGGGTTTTGTTTGGTGCAGAGGTACTCCAAGTCACTCTCAATGCCTTGGCTGTTTAACAGTGTAGGTGGCATCTCCCCCACCTTCAGATTGGTGATTAAGCCCATGAAGGGTGGTTCATACTTCACAGTGCTGGAGGTCAGAGCAGAGAGGCGCACGTCAAGAGGGATCCCACCCACGAAGAGATCACTGACCACTGCCATTTCCTTCCTCTTTGATTTGACTTGCGCCACTTTTGTCTCTCCATCTACCATTAGCAAAGTCTCACGAAAATTGCGGGTGAGCAAAACCATGTGCCAACGGTCATCATTCACTAGTGTCTCCATGTGTAGAATGGCTGGCTCGGCGCAGTGGATGGCAAAACGCAGTTGGAGACGTCCACCAGCAATCAGAAGCTCCAAGAAGTCACAGTTCCCACCGTCGTCGAGATAGAGCACCAAGGCTTGGCTGACATTGGTCTTCAGACTGAAGCTCAGCTCACCCACCGATCCAGCTTCCCAGCGCCCATAACGTGCATACTGGCCTGTTGCCCCACCAAATTCCAGCATGTCCACCGTAGCTAGCATGGTGAAAAAGGCCAAGGGCCACAGGGGCCAACATAGGAATCTTAACACCCTTGTCATACTAAAATTTGCTATTTTTCTCTTTTTTAATTTATTCTTGGCCCGATGAGCCACAGAGCCAAGCCCCAACTTCCCTTTAGATAAGCAATTAAAAAGATTTTTAAATGCTAAACAGGCAATATAAAACAGAGATGCTTGCAGGAACTTTCCTCCAATTATCCAGTCGGCAGTTTTTTCCTTCACTTCCAAAATGTTTTGGCTTGTCCTTATCCTGACTCTTTCCTTTGTCTCTCCATCAGTCGGTGTCTCTGATACTGACAAGTAGCAGGAGAGTAGAAGGGGGGAAATTATAATGGCAGACCCTTTAGTTCTGTGCCTTCGACTAAATGGTCACTAAAATGTAGATTTTGGGGAAACCTCCACAAACTTTGAGTTGAGACACACGTTTGGTGTTCTAAAACAGAAATAAATATAAAGTTGCAGCAGCTTTAAAAGGTGTCAGCTGCACTTTAAGCCTTGTTCATAATTTCCCCATGACGTCTCACTCCTCCAAAGCCTTAGGAAGATTTATGTAGGTGTTGGTCCCATGATTGTAGCAGCATCTGGGAACCTAGAGAAAAGGAAAAAAAAGGAAAACTGTAAAGATTTGCAAATACTGTCAAGAAACCTAAAAAAAAAAAATCATTTATCAATTCATTTTTTATAAAGGAAAGTACTGAAATATATTCAGTTGCGTTATGTCATTATTTAGCAATGTACTAAATTTCAGGGCAAGAGCAACATGGGTATAGAGCGATCATAGACCCATGCCATTACATATAAATACTTCATATTTATAAATCACCCTTTCACTGTGGCACACACAAACACACACACACCAGACATGCATTTGCAAACACACACATCATTAAACCCGATGTGATTCAGAGTGGAGTGCTGCCGAGTCAATAGCTTTGTGAATAGCAGATCTTGACCCTGGGGCTCAACCTGATCCCCAGCCATTAATTCTTGAGTGAGATTTAATTTCCATCACAGACCATCTAAAATTAAAGCAAGGCTCAACCCTGCTCCTGCTGTTTTTCTCTACCCTACACTCCTTCAACGTGACAGCAGAAATGCTGTTTGAATACAAGAGAAGAAAAGAAAAAAAAAAAAAAAAAGGGGGCATGATCTCAGAGAAACAAAATTGAACAGAATTGATTTAATCTTGAAGGGAAAACTTTAATTTGGGGAATTTGGTGTTCATGTTTGTTTAATATATCTTAGGATATATCTAAAGAAAAACATAGCTAATATAAACCTGAATACATTAATCTGGATCTAAAATCTTGGATGTAAAGTAGCTTTTCAAAGCACTCAATTTTAATTTAAAGTTAATGTCAATTATTAAAACTATTAAAACTTTTCTAACATTCCAAATATTAACATTATATGCTGATATTGTATTGAGTAAATATCGATAACTGTCAATACTTAAAGCTGCAATATCTGTATCATACAGTATTTGGAAGGAAAAAGTTGTACCGAGAAATCCCTAATGAAAACATTAAAAAGTCCTTAAAAAAATGGGACAGTTTTTATCAAGTATTTTTGAGCTACATATATATGGGTTGAGTAGTGTTGCTATTAAAGATAGACGTATACTGTATCGATCAGCTGATATTTTAGGTCAACATCAGTATTTTAGCACCTGCATTGTCAATTTGTCCATTTGTTATTCTTTGTTAATGTTTTCTTTGATTTGTTAATGATATAGACACAGTATTTGTTATTATGCTGTGATATTTATCATATAAATTGAGGAAGGGGAAACAATAAGAAGGTCCTTTATGCTAACGCTAATGATGGGTTGCTATATATTATTTCTGTATTTCTATAATTATTAACAAAATTAGCAAAAATTGAAAACAGCGTAAAATTCCTCTTCTTTTATTTATTAGAATGTATTTTTCTTTTTTCTAAAGCTGACAACAAATTAGCACAACGCATTCTTTAGAGACTGCAATTGATCTGAAACATTTGATCGTAAACTCTGACGGAATCCGATGCTTTTTTTTACTAAAGCCATTAACATAAGTTATTGATCTGTTGTGCTTGATCAGAGCTTTGTGCTAAAATTATTTTAGATCTGTGTCATCAGAAAAGCACAAAAGATTAAGTAGTTAGATTTAAAAAAAAAAAAAAAACACAAAAAAACCCAAAAGCTTACACCATGTGTCAGGCAATCCTACTGGATCGCTGTTAAAGCGCTATTTTATTATCGAGAATGGCTCCCCAAACCCCTTTCCATCAATAAATAAACATATGACTAAATAAATAAAAAGCTCCATCACAAAACTACTCAACACAATAGCCTGTATCTATACAGTGAAACACACACTTCTCAACACTCTTTCACATGGCTAGAAGAAGAGCTGCGTTTAAACAAATGAAAGGGAAGAAAAAACACGTATTCCCACATCTTGCAGAATAATTCCTAATCAATAATTAAAACAACCAAACAAACATCATAGCATGATCAAGCATATTTCATATCTATAAGAAATTATTGTTTTCACAGCTTAAAAACCTGATTTTTTTTGACAAAGATGAAAAATGTGATACTGTAAACACTTAAGTTTAGATTCCACAGGGAGTTTGTTTTGGTTTTGCTATGTTCCATTTTTTTAAGCCCATTAAATCTCTCTTTGAGGTTTCCTCCCAGGAGGAGCGATTTAATGGAGTGCGCACATAAAGGCAGTCAACTGGTAATGTGCATTGCTCGAATCATCTCATTTGGGTAAACCATCAGGTTGGAGTGTGACAGTGAGGAGGTCAAGTTAGGTTTGAAAGCTCATTAGAAAAACAGCTCATGAGTTTTACATCCTACATGGTTTAATAATGCAGGATTTTACCCTATTTAAGAGGTTTATAAACACCTACAACAATTTTTATATCATTTTACATTTGAAAATACTGTTTAATTGGAATAGAGTGTCTTTGAAAGGCAATTTATTCCTGTAGGAGAGATCAAATCAGCCTAGTTTATTTTGGGGTCTATGTGGGAAAGATCTTAATCTGCAATATCTATATTGATTTTCAGAAGATAGCAAGAAGATAGCAAATTTTCTCTTAAATACACGATTAACAGTTATAACAGCAACTCAAATGTAAAAGAAAAAAAAAACAAGAGCTAAATTATTCAATCAGCAAACTCTCCCTCTGATTAAGTTCTTAAGCATTGCTGAGACTGCATTTCTTCTTCTCTAATCATTTCTGCTTTTTTCAATACTCAGTCAATTCATCTTTATTTTTCCCTAATTAACCAGGGGATACTGGCAGGTTTAGCAAAAAGAATATTATATCTCAAAGGAAGATGAAAGATTACAGACTTTAGGTATCTAAAGCACAAAAGCATTGAATAGAACAACTAATGAGATGGGGCCACCAAACAGAAATTTAGTTAATTGGTTTGATGATAACCTTTAATAAATGTTAGACAATTCTGAGTGATGCTGCATGAAGACATTTTACTTATACCGTTGTTTACAAATCTTTTGTGATCACAATATTGCTCCCTTTTAGTTTTGACGATTACAAGTTGTAACAGTCGTAATTGTGTAGTGTCTCTTTAAGAGACTCTGGTATTGCTATGTGCCATTGCTTCTCTGTAAATAGGGTAAATACTCAGACTAGGGTTGCCAACTGTTCCTTGAAAAATTTTATCTTTCTGTATTTAGAAATAAAAGTACCTGTCCCGTATTTAGTGGAAAAGGAACATACTTTGTTCTGTATTACTGTGAGAGTAAAATGGAAAATCAAGAACGAGGGCACTTTAGATAAAAAAACTTATGGTAACGTTATTCCGGGGCCCTGTCCTGCATTGTAACCAATGAGCTGACAACATATATGTAACGATCGAGAATACCATCATCCCATTGGTCGAGCCAAGTGTTGCTCACGGAGAAGACAGTGGGAGACAACAGAGCAGTATGGCTATTAATTTAAATGCTGACACTGCTTTTGGGGTCGGTATACCTTCACATAGCGATACTCCTCCGACGAAAGAAAAAGGATGCAGAAATATAGGGAGGAATGGGAAAAAACCTGGGTGGAAAAAGTCTGTGATAATGAATATAAAGCTCACTGGGAAAAATTCATCAAACTCAATGCAGATTTGACTAAATAGTAGGAAAAGGTCCTACATCTAAGACCATGTAAAGTAACTACAGTAAACTATGCTGGTTTCCCTTCACAGGATCCATGAAAATGTCGACAGACTTTCTAAACTCAACTTCAACCCCAGTCGGCCTCAGCAGATGGCCTCTCACACTGAGCCTGGCTCTGCTGGAGGTTTCTTCCTGTTAAAAGGGAGTTTTTCCTCTCCACTGTCGCTACAAGCATGCTTAGTGTGAGGGATTGTATTTGAGTCAATGAGTCAATACAAATAACTGGTTTTCCTTAGATAGAAACTTTGTATCAATTTGACTGTATGATCTGGTTGAGATGCCTTGAGATGACATGTGTTGTGAATTTGGCGCTATATAAATAAACTGAATTGAAATTGAATTGAAATTAAACTTGACTTTTTAACTAAAAGGTGTATGCTTTCTTACAGACAGTGATATTCACTGTTTCTTTGAGGTTTTATATAGTTCATTTTATACCGAGCATTTTCTTTTTGTTTTGTCTGACAGGAATTCAGGGAACAGAAAAAAACTACAATATTGCTTAAATTAGAGAAAAATACCTGTATAAAGGTATATACTATTATAACAATTTGGTCTCACATTGATATTGGATAATAAAATTTCTGTTTGAATCAGAACACATTAAATTCTGTGAGGATGTAGAAATCAGAAGAGATGATGATGAGGAGGAAAAAACAGAGGAAGAGGGTAGAGTTAGCCAAAGGAGCTAGTGGATGCCGCTACCAGGAGATGCTAACGCAGATGGAGAGCTTTGCTACAAAGAGCTTTCTCAGATATATTAGAATGTGTGTTACACCAAGTGAAGGATTACACTGTCACTAAACAGTCATTTATTATCTTCAGAATTGATTTTGATTTCACATTAGCGTCTGCTAACGCTGCTAGCACTAGCTAAAATAGTGAACAGTAGAGCAGTAGAGTTTGTTTGGCCCCAGCATGCATTGCAAAGGTGACAAAAGGCCACCTCCACTGAGGAAAAATATAATTAATGACATTTTTAAGTGATTATGAGTTTTTAAATCTAACATTAAGGCCAACTTGATTAAACTAGTTGTATCAGGTAAAATCTTAGTTGTCAGCACCCCTGACCCTCCCTTAGTCATAATCAGTAATACCCTAATGTATGTTTGGGTAAATTAACTGCCCACTCCTGGGGTATTTCTGCAGCCACAATCTTGTTTTAGCATGAACAATTCTTTGACTTGGTTTTCCAAACCTGTCTCTAAAATCTTATGAGGAAAGATTATGCTCTCTTTTAAACTTTATGTTTGGGCTATAAAAAATATACCATAAAAAAAAGCAGTTAGAAAATTTACTGTGGAAGCAATCTTTACCCACTGTCATAAACTAACACCAAACATTTTGTCCTTACAAAGCTCCGTACCCCTCTGAATAACTTAGTGATGATGTGAGCCACCGT